GTGGCCCTGCCTGGGCCGGGAGGCGGGAGTCTGCCCCGGCCTTCTGCGGGGGGGACACTCCGGGTGTGTCATATCCCCCCCACACAACTCGGGAGGAGGTCGGGATCTCCTGGGGGTTCCCTCCCTGGAGCGAGGGAACAAGGACAGGGGATCTGTCGGATGTGCGGGGAGCACTGTCAAAGTGCGAGGTGCTTCCTCTGCTCTTTGTGTCCCATCTCGGCGAACAGCGTAGCGGGAGGCTGAAGGTTTCCTTTGCACTCCGGGTGTGTCATATCCCCCCCACACAACTCGGGAGGAGGTCGGGATCTCCTGGGGGTTCCCTCCCTGGAGCGAGGGAACAAGGACAGGGGATCTGTCGGATGTGCGGGGAGCACTGTCAAAGTGCGAGGTGCTTCCTCTGCTCTTTGTGTCCCATCTCGGCGAACAGCGTAGCGGGAGGCTGAAGGTTTCCTTTGTAGTCAGAGGTCATGGTCCAAGATGTGGCCGTGGGGATGAGGACGGAGGCCTGATATACAGGCTGCGTTTTGCAGAGAGTGACCTAGGATACGTGTAGATACTTACAATACTTGTGCAGGGTAATTGTACAGGATAATTGTACACTACGTAGGATACTTGTAGAAGAGGCTTTGTACATTTCTGGATTGAGTTGCTTGGTACTTGAAGAGTTCTTTGGATAATTGGAGTCTTAAGTGTTTTTAGTCAAGGTGTTCTGTGGCGCAGCTTTACAGAATAGCATAATGCAATTTCAGGAAGTGATATGTTTGAGTTCCAGTAAATGTATAATATAAAGTCAGCTTGTTCCTGGTATCACCTGATACCATTGCTTTTATATAGAAGACGAAACAATGAAAGTGTTTAATGACCGCTATGCGGAACAGAGCTCTTGGAGTATTAGCGAGTGACAGAAAGTTACTGCTCTGTAGTGGTTGTGTAGCAGTCTTGGTGAATTGTTCACTTGATGAACTTAATTTGCTTGTTTACTGGAAGCAGAATAATTACAGTGGATATATCTTACAGGCTTAGAGAGATTCTGCTCCTCATTTGAGCATTTCTATCCTCAGCAGTAAAGACAACATATTTTGGTGATGTTAGTGGCTTCTTCCTTTACACTTATAATCCTAGCGGAATTAGACACTATGTTAAATACCTTATAGGCAACTGTTGGCAGGGAAAATGCAAAAAATGGCTGATGGTGCTAGGAGAATTGGCTCCTGGACTATAATGTGCTACTGTCCGCTCACTTGTATCATTTAAACTTAGTGCTGAACAAGCACAAGACTTAGTGTCGTGTTTTGCTCAGAGTGCCTTACCCTGCCAGGGGAGTTGTTAGCCACTGTTAATTTGCTAGCTCTTTCAGGCTGTTTTACAAGCTCTTGTTATATGCTAATGCTTTTGCAGTTGGAGGAGGCGTTGTTGTGGAAGATCAGCCAGATGTGAGTGCAGTGTTGTCTGCCTACAATCAGCAGGGAGACCCGACGCTGTATGAGGAATACTACAGTGGATTAAAACACTTCATTGAGTGTTCCCTGGACTGTCATCGAGCAGAATTGTCTCAGCTGTTTTATCCTCTCTTTGTGCACATGTACTTGGAATTGGTCTACAATCAACATGAGAGTGAAGCAAAGTCTTTTTTTGAAAGGTAATTTATTTTCATTTGTGCATTTGCATTATTTTGTGTTTGCTACTTTGATTAAATCTGTAAGCTATAGCAGCAAAGTTTTTATTTATGTGCGTATTATTTTTCTTCTCTAATGTTGAAGCTATTTGGACTCTGAAAATAATGGTGCAATATTGCCATATTTTAATAACTGTTCTTAAATAATTTTCCAGTGTGCTATGTTAGAAAGATGTGCAGACTACATGCTTTTGAACTGCCCATGGGCAGATTTTGAACCATCTGTATGGTGAGCGGATGGGCAGCTTGCTGCAAAAGCATCAGCGAAGATATGCTGTTTCTTTAGGGAAAGGGAAAGATTGTGAGGTCATTTTTTAACACTGGAAAATTGTACTGAGATGCCAAAGTAACAAACACTACAAGTATTTTCTAAGGTCATAGCATGTATACTGAAATTCCAAATGAGATTAAACAAATTAATTTATGGCTAATCTATAATTTTCTGTGCTCTTACTATGTTTAATTTCTTTATCACTTGAGAAGAAAATGACAGTTAATTTGTTTTCTGGATTCAGACCGATTATGAAACATTTCAAGCCCAAAGGATAACTTTGTCTCCCTCCAATATGGTCAGCAAAAATGGTTCTGTAAATAGTTAAAATGTTCCCTGCCATGACTATTTTATTATGTGGTTTGAGTAAAAATGGAAAACTCTAGACATATGTTAGCTATTAGATAATGCAAGTGGAAAGTGAAAACATACACAATGTGAAATGTACATATTCATGTGCTGAATCAGATATAAATGCATCCAAGTAGCCTTGCATAATAAAAAATGCCCTGTACTTTATGATACCACAAATTAGAGTTTCATTTCTGTAAATAAACATGTTAGTGTAGCTATTTACTTCAGGTGAGAACCCTTTGAGTGTATGAAGTTCTGTGAGGTTCCATTTGTGTGTTCTCTTCATTATTTTTTTTTTTAACTGTTGGGTGCTCTTACTGTATACAGTAAGTCACTGGTGTGTCTTCACCAGGATGAAATGTATTTCAGCAGAAAAATAATCCCATATGTAGTCAGTAGCTTCCAAAAGCGCCTTACATGTATGTTTCATGTTAAAATAAGGTAAAGAAGTGCACATTTAGGAGATAATTTTTTTTTGTAATAAATGTTTTATCTTATGTTATATTGTTTCAATAGATTTCATGGGGATCAGGAGTGCTATTACCAGGATGACCTGCGTGTATTGTCTAGCTTAACCAAAAAAGAACATATGAAAGGTAACGAGACCATGCTGGATTTTCGAACAAGCAAATTTGTGCTGCGTATTTCCCGTGACTCTTACCAACTCTTGAAGAGGCATCTTCAGGAAAAGCAGAACAATCAGATCTGGAACATTGTTCAGGAACATCTTTACATTGATATCTTTGATGGAATGCCTCGCAGTAAACAACAGATAGATGCTATGGTTGGAAGCTTGGCCGGGGAGGCAAAACGAGAGGCTAATAAAGCAAAGGTAGGAGGCAAAGGTTGTTGCACTTTTATAATTGAATAACTCTCCCTAGTTTTTCAGGGAGAAACCTTAGTACAGACTGACAGTGTCACCCGAGATCTTAAAAGACAGCATGAACAGAACAAAGGAAGAGAACTGTCCAGATAGTGGTTGACAGGAGTAGAGAGATCAAGATGTGTCACTGTCTGGTGGAATAAACTGTTGAGCCCCTCTGAGGGACAACCTTGTATTCAGCCTACTGAACTAAACTTAAACTAACTCATGTGATTTTAAAATGGACACCTGACTATTTGGCTTCCTGTCTTGTACAATGGATGTAATACTTACTGCCAGTTGTTACTGCTAGGACTGTTTGTGTAGGTCTTGACAGTGTAGTACCACAGTACTATCCAGATAAATTTTGTAAGCTGTAGGGATTCTGCTTTAAGAAAGTGCTAAGAGATGCTGCGAGAACTTACAGTGGTCCAGATGAGTTGCTGGGTAAAACAGCAAAACATGTACTACATTTGTTATGGGCTAACCAGTAGTGTATGCAGTAATATAAACATAGCAGTTTTAAAGGGACAGCTTTATTGCTTGGACTATTGCATTGAAAAGTTTCCATGAAAAAAATTAATTTTCAGTAAGAACAGCAATTACTGTTTTGTCTGTTGTATATTTTGTTGGCTTGCAGGTTTTCTTTGGCTTGTTGAAAGAACCAGAGTTTGATGTGCCTTTGGATGATGAAGATGAAGAAGGAGAAAATGAGGAAGGAAAGCCAAAGAAGAAAAAACCTAAAAAAGATAGTGTAGGGTCAAAAAGTAAAAAACAAGACCCTAATGCTCCTCCCCAGAACAGGTATGAAAGGAACTGTGTGTAGAGAAGTCTTGTTAAATCCAGTCTTGCCATGACGAATCTTCATTGCTGTTCACATGGTATTTTTAGCATTTTGGCCATTTCAGCTGTACACAGCTTTGGCCGTAAGACTTCTACGGGAGGTAACGGAAAGCTTAGCATATAACCCTCTGTCTTTGCCCTTCAAGTCAATATAGATTTCCCTTGACAAAATTTTACTCAGTTACCTGCTAATCTTTTCAGGTCATACTCAAATTATTTATCTTGTTCCACCGCCGATCTGAAATTCTTAAAGCTACTGGCTTTTTTTCTCATCAGTTAATCAGTCATTCATTTTTTCTAATTCTTGTTGCGTATTTGAATATTGAGCTATAGGGTTGCATGTGAAGGTTTCGCGTTCTTTGTTTAGATTAACAATATGGAAGGTGCTTTTAGTTCATAAAAATGTGGGCTTCTTGTAGAATTCCTCTGCCTGAACTGAAAGACTCTGACAAGCTGGATAAAGTAATGAATATGAAAGAAGCTGCAAGGCGTGTGCGTCTTGGCCCAGAGTGCCTGCCCTCCATCTGTTTCTACACATTCCTTAATGCTTACCAGGTTGGTAAAAGAAGAGGTTTTTGGCAATATGGAAACGGGAATCAAAATTATAAACATCACTTTTAATAAAGAAAGAAGACTTAACAGTGTTGGCAAGAGTTATTGGAGTATTTGGAGTAAGTGTTGCGAAATTTATGTTCCAAAATATTCAAAATTCTCTTTAACAACTCCTGATAGTATATAATTTCCATGTTCCTTGGTTTTGCTCTGATTGCTGTAATTCCTTCTTTTGCTTTTCCTGTGGGGCCCTAAGTGTATTCTACAGAATGCAGTAGATGTTTTGCACTGAAGTACTGGAGAACAATACTGTTTAGTCAATATTGACTGTGCTTTATTTTTAATGGTGCAAGAATTCATGTGTCTTTATACTAGAATAATTCCCTCTTATTTTTGTAAATAAGTCAAATTAATTTTCTTACTAGTACTTAGGATTTCATAATATTTGAAATGCATCATGAAAGATACAAACAATATAAATGGATATTTTGTGTATAGGGTCTGACTGCAGTGGATATTACAGATGACTCTAGCATGATCGTAGGAGGCTTTGCTGACTCTACTGTCAGAGTGTGGTCTGTGACTCCGAAAAAGCTACGTAGTGTGAAAACAGCAGCAGGTAATTAAGACAGTAACACTTACTATGAGCACGCATTACTTCTGGCAGCTGAGCTTTGCAGTAACAGAGAAAAAGATGTCTGTGGCAGAAGAGTTGTCTTCAGCAGTTAGATGCTTTCACTTTGAAGAAACAGTGTGTGCACAGATGCATGATCACATCTTCTATACTATCATTAGAAACATTTTTAAAGGAATGAGAAATCTGATTGTGTACACCTGCTGTGAGGTGGTCCGTGCACGGAGCGTGGAACTAGCCATCTTACTTCTTAACTGGATGGTAAACACAGGGTGTAGGAAACAGTTGGGTTTAGGTGATCTGGGGGAGAGACTAGAGGTATCCTGGGGGAAATTATAGGAGGGAACTCTGAGAAGGATGGAGGAGAATGTGCTGTAGCTCAACACCTACACAAATTCATGGAAACCAGGCTTCTTTAATTCTGCTGTTCATGTAACAGTGTGTTGCGGCTGAAGCTGGATACTGTGCAAATGTTTCTTAATCTTGATATTTAACTGAGATACGGTCATGATGTTCGGTAAACAGTAGCTTACAGACTAAAAGTTATTTTAAGTTGTGTGTAGTGTGCAGCTGTCAAAACATCTCTGTAAAGTGTGTTTGTAGCATATTAACTTCCTGGAAAAAGGTGTGGAAATTTGGCATCTCTATCAAGAAGATGTTACTGTGTTTGTAGGCTGAACAATATATATATGAAAAATAACACGTCAAGATTAATTTATTTTAGCTCAGTGAAGACTTAAGAAAGAGGGATTATTTATGTAAAGCATTATTTTCACCTTTTACAATGGTAAAAATATTTTAAATGCCATTGTGTATTCCAGATTCACCAACTCCCAGGTACTTTGTTGTGTTCGCATCATACTTGCCTCTTTTAGAGAGAATATTATTTGTTTTGAAGTTCATGGCATTTATCTTTGAACTTCTGATAGTTATTATGACACATGAACTTTGAAATATTGCAGACCTCAGTCTCATTGACAAAGAATCAGATGATGTCTTGGAGAGGATCATGGATGAGAAAACAGCAAGTGAGTTGAAGATTTTATATGGTCACAGTGGACCTGTCTATGGCACCAGCTTCAGTCCTGATAGGTAAAATAAGTTTACAAGCTAACTAGTTTGCTCATCTTGAGTTTAAATTGTATCGTACTGAGTGCAAATGTGTTTTTAATCTAACTTTCTCCAGAAGGTTAAAGCAATTCTTGTTTATGCAGCTTATAAGAAACCACTTGCGAGTGTAAGTGCTCGTTATGCTCAGGGTGTTGGGCACTGTCAGCTATTACCGAAATCAACTGGACCTGAGGATGCCAGCACTTTTTTTGAGGTTCAGGACTTAGATGGCAAAATAGACCATCTTATTTGCAAACTGTAGTGTAAGCTGGGTTTTAACTAACTGAATTGTAGAGAGGAAAAATACTGCAGCATTGATTTCAGTTATGGTATTGCAAAACATAAAACCAGACTGAGTAGCATGTCGTTGCACTCCAAGTTTCTCATATTCTGTTGAGACTTTATTTTCAAAATGTGTGGAATAGTATCTTTAAAAGATTTAAAACCATTATGTAGTTATGAAAGTCTGAACAGTTGAAAGGAGGTTTAAATGTCTCAAGTTTTGCTTTTGCTTGTGTTTAGTCAGGAAACAACAATCATAAACACAGCTGAGAAGTAAACTTTGTGTGGAACATGAATGTAGAGTCTATAATTATGGATTGAGAATGTGAACGTCATATGAATTCTCTTCCAGGGAATCCTAGAATTTTGTTTAGAGTTATATTAAAATATTTTTTTAAAGTAACGTAGTATAGCAGTTTACTAGTCATTTTTTCATATAGCTGGAATTCCGGAGTAAAGACCAGCTCTGGTTTGTTTGTTTGCTTGGCTTTTTTCTCCCCTCAGTATTGCTGTGTCATCAGTCATCAGCACCCAAATGTCTCTCTTCTTTGCATAAGGGCCTAGGAATGGATTTGGCTTGAATTGGTTATTGTTGCTTACCCCACTAAAACATTGATTTATATGCAACATGCTGAACAGATGCTGTTCAGCGGACAGTTTTTCTTATCTAGACATCTCACTGTTCATGCAATGGTTATACAGTCTGTGCATGAGTTTGGTATGTAATATGCTATACTTTCTCCTGTGACAGGAACTATCTGTTGTCCTGTTCTGAGGATGGCACTGTCAGATTGTGGAGTCTCCAAACGTTCACATGTTTGGTGGGATATAAAGGACACAACTACCCCGTATGGGATACACAATTCTCTCCTTATGGTTATTATTTTGTGTCAGGGGGACATGACAGAGTGGCTCCCCCCGAAATTGGATGGGTTTTTTACTTGTCTGGGTCAGTTTGTGGTGGATTAACCCTGAAAGTGATTAGCTGATATACTCTAGCCTACCCTATTACTGGAAATAAATTATATTTCATATCAATTAAAATACTGAACAAATGTTTTTATGTAGCTTTTCTTTTCAACACACATCATATTATCTGATGACTAGAGATGGTGTCCTCTTATGTGACCATCTAAGTATTCTTTTCCAGTTGTTTAACAACTTGACAGAGTATTCTTTATTTCTCCCTTCTGAAAGGTATACTTTTCCAAAACAGACCCTGCTAATTCAATAAATTGACCAGTAAGAAACCACTGCATAATTACTTCCTTTTATTCCTCACTATACAACAGATATTGAACTTCATCAGGGTTCTTTTCATTAATAAAAAGCTTTTCTTTTCAGTCTGTGGGCAACAGATCACTACCAGCCTTTACGGATATTTGCTGGCCATCTTGCTGATGTGACGTGTACTCGATTTCATCCAAACTCCAACTATATTGCCACGGGCTCAGCAGACAGGACTGTGCGGCTCTGGGATGTTTTGAATGGGAATTGCGTGAGAATATTCACTGGACATAAGGTAAACACATATCACTCACAGCGTGAAAAGTCATTGTATTTCTGTGATGATATTCTGAAGAGTAGTGTTCAGAACAAATATGCTTGACTGACTGAATGTGAGCAGACTTAATCAACTTGTTTGGTCCCTCCGCCAAATCTCTGTTTTAGGGACCAATTCATTCATTGGCATTTTCTCCCAATGGACGATTCCTGGCTACTGGAGCAACAGATGGAAGAGTTCTGCTGTGGGACATTGGACATGGCCTGATGGTTGGAGAATTGAAAGGGCACACTGACACCATCTACGCGCTCAGATTCAGTAGAGATGGGGAGATTTTAGCATCAGGTAAAATTCACTGGAAACAGCGAAGTTGCCGTTGTGTTCTGTAAGTCTGAAGAGGAATGATATAATTGGTTCCTTCAATTGAGGAAGACAAAGTAGAATCACTTGCATAGCAAAAACAGCAACTTAAAACTGTTGGTACAAGGCGAGTACTTCACCAGACTGTGCTGTATGACCCCTCGCCATTCCAGGAACTGAAGGGAAGGCGTTATGCACTTAGACGATAGTGGAGGTTGGCATCTGTGTGCCAGTCAGGTCTAGAAGCAGCAGAGCTTGTGAAGCCTGCTTGTTTCTCCTGCCTGTCCACATGGATTCTCTGGTGTCCAATATAGCAGAGCTCCTTTGCCAGTTTTCTCTTCATGGAGGCACAAAGTTTTGTCTCTTCATGATGAGTGAACTGTTTTCCTAAAATGTTTAGGAATATAATGAATTTGAAACTTGTTCTGTCAACTGGTTGAAATGAGCTAACAAGTTCAAGTTACTGACAGAAGAAACAGTTGACAGACACTAATTATATCAGGGTAATTTCCTCATGAAACCAGGCTAGCAATGTTCTAGATTTCTTTAGTAGTATGTTCCTAAGTGCAGTGCAGTGAGAATCCTCAGTGAGCCACTACTGCAGGAGTGGAAGCTAACAGACAGGGTACAAATTTGATCCAGCCTGCAGGGTGGTTCTTTAATTTATCTACCAGTGCTTCACTGAAAGCATGGACCACTGGGCCTGCAAAATTCTTCTGTCTTCACTGTATCAAACAAAGAAACTGTTGTTATGTGACTTAGAATCACAAACGTTTCCTGAAATTGGCATCTAGCCTACAGGATGGTCCTGTGTTTTCAGTGCTAGGTGATACAATCCAAACCCAGGTGTTCCAAGAGAGCAGTTCTTTGTACTTTACCCACAGGGCATTCAGGTTAGATTACAGGAAAGCTGAAATCCCAGTAGCTTTTCTGTGCGCATTCAGTGTGTTAGAGGCTTGTTAAAGTCTGTTTCCTTGCAGGGTGAGGGCGTAAGTCTACAGTTATGAGCAAAGCTGCTTTCTGAGCTTTAATTTCTGTTAACTTGCCCAGTAATTTTCTTATACACCTTTCTTATTAATAAAAGACTTCAACTGTTGTTCTTGTTTCTTTCTAGGTTCAATGGATAACACAGTTCGTCTGTGGGATGCTGTGAAAGCATTTGAAGATTTAGAAACCGATGACTTTACTACAGCTACTGGACACATAAACTTGCCAGAAAACTCACAGGAGTTGTTACTAGGTACATACATGACCAAATCAACCCCAGTTGTACACCTCCATTTTACACGCAGAAACTTGCTGCTGGCTGCAGGAGCCTACAGTTCGCAGTAAACCGGGGAGCTGTAAGACTGACTGTGCCAAGTCATTGCAGTAGTGACCTCAGGATGTGGGATGAGGAGGAATGTCTTGTACAGGTAGACCTGGCTAGGCTGTTGCAGGACAAATGAAACTATGTAAACTAATGCAAGTAGCGTCTGCCCAGTCCTGCTATTTCATATTTATCCACGGTTTGAAAATGCTGGAGACTGACAAGACATCGTGGCTGTAAAAGAAGGAATTGTTTATGGTGCTTTTGATAAATATATATATGTATATGAAAATGGCTGTCTCCTCAGAGATGGTATTGAGCTCTGCTGAAACTTGTGGAAAGTTAACAGCCTTGGTATGTGTTCTCAGATAATTTTTTTTTTAAGCACTTAATTTATGGTTAGCAAATGTTTAATCAGTCTGTCTATCTCAAACACAAGTAAAAACTGTTCCGTTTCAGAACAGAAGAATGTAGTTTAATTCACTATAGCCTGGGCTGGGCAACAGGTACAGTGAGAGTATTGCAGCAACAAACAGGGCATTGAGACAGTAGGTCCTACAGGCAGAGGCTTGTGGGGAACTGCTGTGAAGTTACATGTGTGGGTTTTACGCATCCAAGTACCAAGTCCTGAGAAGATTTCAAACTCCTGGGCTCTTTTGAGGTATCGGAAATGCAGATCTTGTTACTCTGTTTTCACAGGCAGCCAGTGCTGTAAGTGTGGTAAGCAACCAGAAGTGCAATGTGAACTTTATTTACTTTCATACGTTATTGTATGGGGGAGAAGGGAAAGGGTGACTGAGGGACAACTGAAATACCTGTTATTAAAAAAGTGGACTTAAACCCTTTTATGTTGTATTAGATGTAAAAGAACTTTAAAAACCCGTGTCCTTTCTGCATAAGGTTTACTATCTCAAAATGTAAAACTAGCCAAGAAATTGAAACATTACTGCAGAGTGAAAGGATTAATATGTCCTAAGTGTATTGTCAGTTTGCTTTTGAAAGGACAGCTTGTCTGCTGAAGTGACAGTTAACACCCACAAGAACATTGTACCCCAGTCAGTCCTCCGGGACAACCAATAAAGCTCAGTGCTTTATTTCTAAGGAAGAGTAAAACATGCAGAACACTGGGAAGTATAACTTCTTTCTGGGTCTTTGAACAGAAGTCACCATCACCAAAGACAGGCCCAGTTTGGTGGTGTGTGGTTTTTTTTTTAATCTCTTACAAGCTGTATACAGGGACATCTGTTTTGTGTTCCTCATCTCCAGTAAGGGCCTGGACACTTGAACAATCTGCTGGCTCTCTAGTGAAAATAAAAACAAGACTTGACATTTCTAAGGTAAAGTAGATGGACAACTACCTCCCCTCTCATCCCTTCTCTCTTAACTCTTGGAGTAAAGGTATATTACAGGCATTATACATCAAAATAAAGGGTGGAAAATTCATTAGGAAGCTCACGTGGAATTTTTATTTAAAGTAAAAAGGTTAAAACTAAATTATTATGGATTTTTTTGTGTAATCGTACCTCAGCAAAATTTCCTAGCTCTCAATATGACCAGTTGGATTATGGTGAATCAAAGTTACCTAAAACAAAGCATGTAGTTTTGACAGCTTGAAGAAACCACTGCCACATTCTGCCTTTGTATTTTGTACAGTTTTATACTTTTGATATTATAATAAATACTAAAACCACATAGTTTTGTGTCTGTGTTACAAGAAGGTATTTTCTTCCCTTGAGGGCTGTAATGGAAGCAAGAGCAGTGCTTGTAACTGAGCACTCTGCTAAGAGAAACAAAGTTAATTCAGAAACGGTTGATGACTAGCCATTTCATGTAAATCTCATTCTAAGGCAGGGGATGGATTCTACCTAATTAGATCTATTACAGTTACAACAACCATTATTCATCTGAAAAGCTGTGTACAGCAGAGGCAATTTATGCAAACAAGCTCACAGGAGAGGAAGACGACTAGATTTATTCAGAAGGCCCAGCACATACAACTGGCTTTAAAAAGAGCACATGAACTAGAGCGAGAGAGCACAAAGACCCTGCTATTTCTCTCTCCTTTTTTTCCAGCAACCTTGCCTATCTCCTGCTGCCCTCATTTGGGAAGTGTATTTGCATGCTTCAGCAGCAGAAGTCCCAGGCTGAACTCCTGCTGCTGGCACCCTTCCAAGAAGCACACAGCCACATAATCACATTCACGTATCAGCACTCATGTGACATCGAAGGAAGGTACTGAGTTTTTACCGAGATGCAGGAAGATGCTGCGGAGAATGCGATAGACAAGTTTTAGTGTTGGGCAGGTAGGGGCCTAAATATGTCTTAACTGTGGTAGGAACACTTCATGCATTAAGAGGCTATGTCCAGGAAAAAAAAGCACTGAACTACTGAAGTCACTGTTCATGAACACGCAGTTATAGGAGCTTAACATCAGCAAAGGAAGCTTTTTTTTTTCTTCTGGGAGTTACCTCTGCAAGAGAGGACAGTAACAGAAAAAACTATAATACCATAATTTGATCAGTCTGGTTTTGATGGAAAACTTCCCAAAATCAACAAGTTCTATGCAAAATACGGACAACTGAGGCAGAAGCTGTAATTGCATTGTATTAGTAACAGTGAAGAAGTCGTGGTTTCAATGCAAGCTACTAGCTTGGAATGCAAAAAATGGGAGCAATCAGGTAACTGCAAACCACGTCGCTTACTGTTACCCACTATGACATGGAAATGTGGAGATGCTTTGATCAGCTGCAAGCTCTATGCCAGTACTGTGGTCAGGCTTCTGAGGTCTTTCCTAGGTTACTACGTGCTCAGATCAATTTAGAATGTGTTATACCAGCAAAAGAGTACGATAGGGATCAGCTACTCATCTCCACCACAAATAACTATTTCTGACACAGGAAAAAAAAGCCAAGTGCCACATTTATGCTTTTTTGCACCATTTCATATTTCCCATAAAACAAGTGATTATTTATATTTTATTAGCCACAGCAGGTCATCAGCTTGCACTACACTGACACAGACTGGAGGTTCAGACATGTCAGCAACCTGCTGAGAGAAGAGAGATCACACATAGCAAGTCTTGCACAGTGGTACCAGTAACTGAGCATGCCTCTTCCCCACGCCCAAACAATTTTAGTTACGACCAGGCAAATTTCAGCACACCCAGGAAGAAATGACGTCCCTTTAACATAGAACAACGATGCTCAAGCTTATTATTTTCTACCCATTTTTTGCAAACTATGATGACAGCCCATAGGTTTTTTCAAAATGCCATTTCCGTGGAAATTCTGTGTTTGAAAGTGACTCTAGAATTTTGTACCACTTGGTTGTTGCTACACAAGACAAAGTCCAATCACTTCTATATGGGGCTTGCATAATCAGGTGTGCTGTATGGTGCTCCTTTACTGTGCTCAGAGAAAGGTTTTAACAGACTGCATTAGTCCCTGCTTGGAATTCTCTAATATGAGTAAAAAATAAGTTCTTAAGTACTGCTTTATTATTTCAATACCCTACAAAGCAACCATTATCCCTATTTTACTGCAAAAGGGCAGACCAGAGGCACCTAGTAGTTGTAGGCAAAGCCTGATATACCCAGCTGCAACCTTCTTCCATTCCTCCTTCCTTGCTTACTCTTCCTCCCTGCGTGCTGTCCCTAGTCCCATTTACCATGTCAGAAGAACAAAAAGATGACTGGTATCCTGTACTTTCTGCATCCCCTTTTAACAACCTACTTCATTCAGAATGCCCCCAAATAAGCTGATGCTATCATTTAGCTGAGGTTTAAAATGATAAATATGAAGTTCACATGCCCGTGTTTCTCTCTCTCTCTCTAATTATATTGTATCATTAGCAACTTGTCCTTTATCACTCATTCTTCCTGGGATGGCACTGAATCATTCTGGTACTGGAAAAACACCAGCCACTTACCATTTACTTATCTGCCACAGCAGGAGTTTTCTTTTTAGGTCTAAGCTTGAAATACAAGATGAGCATTGCAATGCTTGTGTATGTTGCTATTACATACTGAAAAACATAAAAAGTTTAGTTTCAGTCTAAAACCCAGATAACACCATTATAGTAGACTACAAAAGTTAATATACATAATACATACATTCCTCCTGCCTGTGATGGTATAGGAATTGAAGTACTTCTGAAATCCAGTGAACTGGTGTTGAGATCCCGAGTCATGGCCAGCCATGGTTGCTTGTCCTAACAACCAATACAAGACAGTTAACAAGTTTTACAGTCAAGTTGGACAGGATCAATAGCAAAATCAAACTAATCTCTACACAGAACTTAGTACTTCCATTGCCAGCTATTAAATCTGCTTTCAGGACATTCAGCAGATGGTGGATAATACGTAAGGAGCAGGCGCATTCAGAGCAATGTATCTTAAAGTACAAAACAGGTGATATAAGCAGACAAGGAAATGAGGGGTTCTGAAGGGAAAAACATTTGTGATTTTCAGCATTCATTCAACCAAATTTAAATATGAAAAAAAAAAGTCAAGATTATGATGACAACAAATGGGAAAATTCCTGAAAGCACTTACAAAGAGGAGACCTGCCAGTCCTGCCTACGCGACCATCCAACGCAGCCAAATTTCTATCAATTGTTCAGGAATCTGCAATACCTAATTAAGATAAATCTTCACTGGTTCAGCTAAGAAACAGCTTCAATTACATATGCAAAAACTTGGTCCTAAGATTCAGACTAGACCGCTACTCTGTTCTGTGATTCAAAATGCCACTTTGCAACTTCTATGCCATAGTAGAGTGCAAGTGTTGTTAGTAAGAACCGCCCTGCTCTCAGTTGCACATTTCTATTGCAGTTTACTTGCCCACCCTAGCATTCACAATCTGACTAAAAATACAGAGTTTTTTCCTAGGTAGTTTTCAGCTAAATCAGCAAGTCACTTGAGCCAGCTACAAAGCCTCAGAAATGCTTTCAGAGGAACAACAAAAACACCACGAGGACACGCTTTTGCATTTTGTCTGTCTGCGTCTGGACCAAAGTTTCAGGTCTACCGTAAGAAGTTAATTAACAAAAGCCTGGCATGGCTGCAGTAGCATACTTGCAGATTCACTGAATGGTTAAGGTTGGCTCTCTGGAGATTGCATAGTCCAACCCTGACCTGCTCAAAGCAGGGGCAGCTAGAGCAGCTCACTCAGGAACACATCCAGTCCCGTTTTGAGTATCTCCAGAGACTGAGACTCCACAACTGCTCTGAGGAACCTGTTCCAGTGTTGGATCACCCTTATAATAAAAGGGTCTTTCTTTTTAATGTTTAAGGATATGCTGTCCAGAGGGACCTTGACAGGCTTGAGAAGTGGGCCCATGCAAACCTCAAGAGGTTCAACAAGGCCAAGGGCAAGGTCCTGCACATGGGTCGGGGCAATCCCGAGCACAAACACAGGCTGGGCAGAGAATGGATTGAGAGCAGCCTTGAGGAGGACTTTGGGGTGCTGGTGGATGAGAAACTCAGCATGACCTGGCAACGTACACTGACAGCTGCATCCTGGGCTGCATCAAAAGCAGTGTGGCCAGCAGGCTGAGAGAGGGCATTCCGCCCCTCTACTCTGGTGAGACCCCACCTGGAGTCCTGCATCCAGCTCTGGAGCCCCCAGCACAAGAAGGACACGGACCTGTTGGAGCAGGTCCGAAGGAGGCCACAAAAATGATCAGAGGGCTGGAACACCTCTCCAACAAGGAAAGGCTGAGAGAGTCGGGGTTGTTTAGCCTGGAGAAGAGAAGGCTCCAGGGAGATCTTATAGCAGCCTTCCAGTACCTGAAGGGGCTTGAAAGAAAGCTGGAGGGGGACTTTTTACACGGGCCTGTAGTGATAGGACAAATGATAATGGCTTTAAACTGAAAGAGGGTAAGCTTTGAGCAACCTGGTCTAGTGGAAGGTGTCCCTGACGAAGGCAGGGGTGTTGCAACTAGGTGATCTTTAAGGTCCCTTCCAACACAAACCATTCTATGATTTTTCTATGTTTAGGACAAACATTTGTTATTTATCTTGTAACTCACCTCACAAGCAGCACACATGCCCTACTGTTACATATCAAACCAGGCAGACGCTGCACCACCAGTACCCCAGAAGGGGCATAAAAGAAACTGCTCCAGCAGGTGCTACGTTCATTAACACAGCTCTTTTACCAACCCAATCCAGTAATGTCTCTCTGGTGCATAATCAGGTAAGCATGCCTGTAACTGTACTGATAACGTAGTAGCCAAAAGCCTTAACGAAACAAACCCCCTAAACATCTGCCGTAGGTGACTCGGAAAGCCAAGGTCATCTTTTCCTACGGCTGACCGACACAAAAGCCTGCAGCAC